AAAGAGCAGAGATTCCTTGTTGTACATTCAAATGTCTCTACGTACATGCTAAGAATCTTGAGGAACACCTTTAAGTCACATTATTTTGATACGACCATATAGTGCTCTCAAAGAGAAACAACATATACAAAAGACAACTGTGATGTCTTAGGTCTAAGGATTAATTTATATTATCACAACTTAGAATTCTTTGTTTAACACTTGTGAGTAAGACTTCCATACAAGAATTCTAGAGTTGATTGAGTTCAATGGACTCCATCTTCTATAGAGCACCTACACATCTGTCTCAGTGTCTCTACACAAATGACTTGAGACTAGTCATCCTCCCAATTGAGCAGACATAATGTGTACCAGTCTTTGCGGGTCAACAAGGTCTCATGCATCTAACTTCTTTAGACCACTTTCCATTTATATCTTAATCCATAGACTTGTTACTTTGTGTACGTTATGTATCTAAAGCAACATTCTTGCCCCTTTGATTATTATTTATTATTTCCTTAGAATTATCCATTTTTATATTGGCTTCTATGGCATATATCTAACATGTAATACCTCAAAATCGATCTACAATACCTACATAAACGGATAGATCACGAAGAGTAGATGAAGTTTCAAAATCGATCTACAATACCTACATAAACGGATACTAAAAGCCCAATCTGTTTAAAATAGTGGGGTAATTAAAAAATACAAGTTGACACCAAACAACTGACATGAATTATTTACTCTTATCCAAAGACTAATACAGTGTACCAAATGAGCCCTGAAGGAATATAGGCAGTACGTAAAGAACCATTATGAATCTTCTCTCGAACAACGTGACAATTGAGCTCAATATACTTGGTACACTCGTGATATACTGGATTAGCTGCTATGTATAAATGTAACAGCTTGACCCAATTTTTAATTATCCATTTAAACATTTAAATTTATTTAATTATGAAATTACAATTTTTCTCTTGGGATAAGTTCATTTTGATCACTTTTTAATCCGATAAGATTTTCGGGAAATGAATGACACTATTGCATAAAGCACGCTAATATGAGTTCGTAGACATGTAATGGGCTCAAATCGGAGTTGTAACGAAGAAGTTATGATCAACAGAAGTGTAGTGGCACAACCGTAAATATTTCGAAGTTGAAATTTTAAAACACCCGATTCTCTCTCTCTTCCAATTCTCTCTCTCTTCCGACGATGATTCCTGCACCATTCGAAACACGTAGTTGGACCTTAGGAACTTCTCGTTCGTCGTACACACACACTTTGAATCCCGGGAAAAACTATGAATTTATTTTAAAGTTCTCGTCTGAAATATTTTAATTAATCAAGTCCTCGTATTCTTCAATAGGTACTTCGGCCCAGCATACTCAACAGGCAGGACCCTCTCAGGGTCAAGTAGCATTTGATTATCTGTGAGTGGACTTTGTTTTTAAATAATATTCATTATTTTCAAGGATGGAAAAATATGCATAATGAGTTATTTGATTATTGAGTTTATTATTTATTTAAATGTTGAAATATAATATTTTTATGAAAGTATTGGAAGTATATTCGAATATTTGCAGATTGGGGTTATCTTGAATAGATATGTGCTATTTTTGAGAATTATTATCTATACTTGGATACATGTCGGGTACATGGGGTTGTTGGTAAGAGATTATGGAATGAGAGTGGGTTGTGGTTTATGTCAGTTTGGAGTGCTATTAGCACTATCCTATGTACCTTCCCGGATTTGGAATACTGGAATTGGATACTTGGAATTATGGGATACTTGGATATGTCAGAACCCGGGCACCCTTGACGGGGTGTTTTGTAAACTCTTAGCGGGGTTAGTCTACGCGCGTAGGACTTGTCACAGGCGTACAAATATTGAGGATTCTGTTGTACGTGCTAGTGTGCCCAGTCCCCTAGTTGGATTACTCGTTCCCTAGCCACATGGTCAATTGAGGATTCTCCCATGTGGTCTAGTTAAACAATCCCCCGGTTGGATTGGGATTGTTTCCCCAGTACAAGTTTGGTAGTGGTATATATATATGTACATATACCTTTGTTCTTGTTGATTGGTGAGGATACTTCCTCGCTCACGGTGCCAATGGGCACGTGTTTTGGGTGAGAGTGGTTGAGGAAAAGGGAAGGGTGTTTAGTGAGTTTGAGTATTAGTAAACTATTACAGGATATGGATTTCAACTTAGTTTTAATGGATTATATACGAGTATATCGAGTTTCAATTGCATGCTTTCTGCATAGTTTTCCAAACCGTGGGGTTATTATATGTATTTTCAAATATAACAAAACTTTATTTTTATCCACTCATAATTTTCTGTTTTGCACCCCCAAGGCAGTAGTTGACCTGAGCTGAGCAGCAAAGTCGAGCTGTGAACTTCCGAGCCTCGAGCTTCTGTAGGACAAACCTTTACTTGTTTCTATTCCTTTGAACTTTCTTTACATTTGCTATGTTACCGCCCATGCTAGGGTTGGAAGTAAGGTCGGAGGCCTATTATGTAAACTGCATGATTTTACATTGTGCATGCTGCTGTTGGAAATTTATTTCTGTGTTTTTTATAGGTAAAAATTTTGGGAAATGTTCGTTTCTCAGGGGAGACTCTGCCGAAATTTCGGCAAAAAGTCTCATTCCTCTCTTCTTTGTTTTGGAAAAGAGGACAGTTAGTAAGTGGGCTCAACATCAGTCTGATATCGGAAATACCACAGGATCCGTCACGGATTCCTAGGAATTTGGGACGGGTCCTGTCAATAAAGCAACTTGGTTGTCACACTAAAGTAAGCTTGGTGTGGTGTGTGACATACCAAGATCATGAAGCAGTGTCATAACCATTGGAGTCCATAAGTTGCCATAGTCATTGCTCTATAATCTGCTTCGGAAGATGAGCGTGATATAATATCTTGCTTCTTTGTTTTCCATGAGATATGACTTTCTCCAAGAAGTACAAAATAACCGGTAGATGACCTCCTTGTCATTGGACAGCTAGCCCAATTAGAATCACAGTAAGCTCTCAATTGAAAATTATTAGAACCTGATAACAAAAACCCTTGGTCTGGAGTCCCTTTCAAATAATGTAATAATCGATCTACAGCCACTTTATGAATCGTACGGGGGCTTTGCATGAACTGGTTTAAAATATGAACTGTATGAACAATGTCTAGCCTAGTGATGGTGAGATATATCAAGCGACTCACCAATCTTTTATAGATTTCTGGATTATGTAATAGTTCACCATCTTCATTGTTTAACATCAGATTTTGTCCCATAGGGAAGAAAGTAGGACATGCACCCATAAGACCTGCGTCTTTCAAAATGTCAAGTGCATACTTCTGTTGGCTCAGATACAATCCCTTTGAAGAAAGAGACACTTCTATCCCAAGGAAGTATTTTAAATCACCAAAGTCTTTTAAATGAAAACGTTGGTGCAGCAAATTTTTGATAATTGATATAGTAGCAACATTGGTACCTGTAACAATAATATCATCAACGTATACAAGCAAGAAAATTGATGACTCACCTTTGTGAAGATAGAAAAGGGAGTAATCTGCTTTAGATTGATAAAACCCTACATCAAGTAAAGCTTTGGAAAATTTGGCAAACCAACACCGAGAAGCTTGCTTTAATCCATAAAGTGATTTGTTAAAACAACACACCATATTTTCCCCCTAGCCGTGATAACCTGGAGGGAGCTGCATGTACATGTCTCCATGTAAATCACCATGAAGAAGGTGTTGTTGACGTGTAATTGTTGAAGACACCAACCCTTGGCAGTGGCCAAGGACAATAAAACATGAACAGTGGTAAGCTTGGCAATAGGAGAAAGAGTTTCATGATAATCAATCCTTTCCATTTGTGTATATCCCTTGGCAACAAGGTGAGCTTTGCATTGTCCAATAGTTCCATTAGAATGCCCGTTGATTTTACAGACTCACTTGCAGCCAATGGGTTTTTTATGAGCAAGCAAGGCCATGAGGGTCCATGTATGATTAGCTTCCAAGGCAGCAAGTTCACTTTGCATAGCTTTACGCCAATAAGGATATTTAGTGGCTTCATCAAAAGTGTTAGGCTCAACAATGATAGTAATAGAAGCAAGAAAACTTTGATGTTTAATAGAGAATTTTTCATAAGATAAATAATGGGAAAAAGGGTACCTAGTGCCATGTTGAACCGGGGTGGAAGAGGGAAGATGAACTTGAGACTGGTAGCATGGTAGTCACTAAGATAACCTCTGGTGGCTTTCGGTGGTGAGGAGGAAGAGAAGTAGAGTCAAATGGTGTTGGTGAAGATGGAGGAGAGGATGATAGAATAGGAGGGAGAGAAGAAGTAGGTGTTATTGGGGAGGAAGGGTGGTAACTTGAGATGGGGAAGGTGTGGTCTCTATAATGAGGTTAAGAGATTATGTAGGTGCGGAAGCTGTAGGAAGGTCAGAAGGCTCAAATTCTGGGATAGGAAGAGGAAAGACGTTGGGCATGGTATTTGTGTGGGATAAATTGTAAGGAAATACAGTTTCATAGAAAGTGACATCACGTGAAGTGTAAACCTTCTTAGTGTGAAGATCATAAATTTTGTAAGCCTTTTGAGAAGGTGGATAACCAATTAAAATGCTTGGTCTGGCTCGTTTATCAAACTTTGGTGGGTGTAGTCGCGACAGTGCTTCTTCAGGTGGTGGTGTTAGGATTCGTTTAGGCTCATGGGTTGTTTTAGGGTTTCGGTTATGTAAGGTTTGTGGGCTTTGTTTGGGATTATGGTTAATTGTGTTTATGTGGGATAGTAGTTTTAGTGCAACTTTTATCTACTTTCGTTTTGCTTTTAGCAAAGTTAGTTTGTTACCCTCTTGGAATTGGTACTTTAGATGTCGTGTTGATATCTTTGATTGTACTATTGAAGTTTATGTCATGAAGTTTCTCTTTGATAAGAAACAAAAACAAAAAGGAAGAAGTTAATTTCAACTTAAAACAAAGTAGTAAAAGTAGCAAATATTTCGGTAAGGGCTCAACATCCATTAATTTTAGTTTTTATTTTATTTCATCAGTTTTTAATCCGGAGGAAATTACATTCATAATTTAGACATAAAGGGTCACTGGCCACAAGGACTAATAGAAACACATGAGGGATACATCAACAACATCTAGACAATAAGGTATCCCTCCAACCAAATCCATAAACGGCCAAAGCACCTCCACCACATAAAGCCAATAAACTTGGATACCAAGCACATCAAATAAAATTAAAACTAAAATCTCATAAGGAGAGATAGCTAACTCATAATGAGTTGCTACAACTTATTCCAACTCAGAAAGAGTCAAACAAACAACGTACAACATGAAAAGCAACTTGTGCAACAACTGCGGAGGAGCTGCTGTACTTTATTCATCATATGGGATTCAAATTTGATGCACAAATTTGCTAGCCGTTGCATTATTGTTCCCAAATGTTTGGATTTTTTTTGTACTACTTGAGGATTTCTTGAGGAAACTTTTGAACCAGTGCGCCGAGAGTTTTGAGTGTCTTTCCAGTCCATTGTCGTAATCAGCATAGTTGACACCAAATCGAACAGTGTATCCTGAGCTCCATTCAAAGTTGTCTATAAATGACCATGCAAAGTATCCCCGCACATCAACACCTTTTCTGCAAATACAAGAAAGAAAAAAAGGATTGTATTCGAGTCAATATAGTGATTAAATAAAGGAAATGTAAGAAGGCTAGACCATACATATATAGCCTTAATTAATTTGTTGACAAACTTACTTCATTGCTGCTTGGAGGTAACAGAGGTGACGATAGTAGAATAAAACTCTATTGGAATCATCAAGGGCTTGCTCAAGTGGAAAATTGGGAATATTTAACTCATTCATGCCTGCAATTAATCCAGTCTAATATGAATACTTTTTTTTATATATAAAAAAGAAATGTGCATTTAGTTTTAGATTTAGAGTTTACAACACTTAAGAAATGTGCAACATTGATGATGCAATTAATTAATGTTTAAAAGTATTGGTTACCATTCTCAGTAATGTATATAACTGGATTATTATACTTTTCCTTTGTGTAGAGCAAAACTTCGTAAAGTCCTTTTGGGTATACATATAACCAGTCATGTGCAGGCTGCAATCCCATTTAAAGATTAGTGAGATTGTAAGGAGTTATATATATATGTGTGGAAAACAAAAGATATGCATAGGTATTAATTGTCAAAATGCCAATAGCTTAAGTAAATAATTTGATGCTTACCCGTGGACCAATGGGGACGCCATTAAGTTCAGCTGCCACAACATATATGAATATGAATATTAGTATCTAATTATTCTAAGAACTCAATTAATTACTTGAAGTTTTCTATTTGTACTCACTTGTAATATTAACGTATGGATCTGTTACGAAGCCTGGAGGCGTAGGTACAATATAACCCTCAGGGTAAGCTTTTGCATATCTAGAAATATAGTAGTTAACTCCAATATAATCATATGAGCCAATCAGTGAATTGGATTCTTCTTCTGTGAATTGTGGTAATCTTTCTTTAAGCATAGATCGCATGATTTGTGGATAGTCACCTCTTGTCAATGGATCCATATACCTATGAAAATATGAAAATTCCAAACGTGACCTTATAATATTATATAAAGTACTACTAGCTAGCTAGCTAGCTAATGTTATTCATAAATAAAGCATTTAAATGAGTTGATATAGGGTTTATTACGTGAATGCATATAAATGAGACATAAGGTTTTCCCTATTTGTCTTCCTTTTGTTATGATTTTCCTCCGATCATCACAAGCGAATGCGTTGGAGTCGGATCTCCACCTGTGTTTCGGTGTCGGATCTCTAGCTACCACCATCCTTTTTGCGGTTTCTTCATGTTTGGAATAAGTCGCAGAGACTCTTTGGGTTTTCTATGTAGTTTTCAGCTCTCCTTTTGTGAGTTTTTCACATCTATTTTCTTAGAGCTTTCCACCTCTCTTTTGTGAGAGTTTTATTTGTATTGTTATGGCTTGATTTTTTTCAAGTTCTTTTTGGTTGTTCTGAGTTTGCAATCTTAGTTGGGATGCATATGCTAGAGTTTCTTCGATCATGTGTGATTGTTAGTGAAGGCACACCAGATTGTCTTCATTTTGATGTTAAATCACTCCGTTATTGTAATGACCACTTGTGGCTAATTTGTATTGGATTTTTGGTTGAATTCTGAATGCAATCTTAAAAAATTTCAACAACAAAAAAGAGTTGATATATATTAGTAATATACTTACCATCCATACAAAAAATCCATAGCTCGAATTGCAGCATCTTTATCTTCCTGTGACTCCGAAGCGGGCTCATACCAGCGTGTTACATGTGTTATTCCTATCACACCATTTTGAGATGGCTGCTCCATAAAGATCAATATTTATTGGTTGATTTGGAGCCATAAAAAATTATAACCATTGTTTATCTTAATATTATGTTGCTATTTAATACTACGTAATTACTCGTAGGACCCCAATATTCATTAAAAATAAAAAACTAATTAAAGTACCTGAAAATCTTTCTTATATGATTTTACAGCAGCAGCATGAGCAAGGAGTAGGTGGTGTGCCACCAAATATGGCTCAATAGCCGAATCTCCCCCAAGGCAGGTTGAGTCATACCAAGATGAGCATCGTCCTGGTGCATGGTCCCCATTTGCATAACCACTGAAACTAAGGTGATATGGCTCATTAACTGTGGTCCAATGCTTTACTCGATCACCAAATTCCTTATAACAAAGTTCCGCGTATGCTTTAAAATCATCGCTGTGTATGCACATTTAAAATCATATTTGTTATATATAGTAGTATTTTTATAATTAACTGAAATATTATACAGAGGATTAAATTTGTTCACTTACACAATCCGATGATTTAAAAAACCATCATATTCGTCAACTAAGGCTTGGGGGACATCCCAGTGGAAGAGTGTCACTACTGGCTTTATACCTATATATCGCATGACCAGTAAAAGAAAATTAAAATTTCGATTATGTAAGTGCATGTGATTGAGATTGGTAGTTGTATCACCATTGAGTTGGAGTTCATTGATGAGATTATTGTAGTATTTGATTCCTTTCTCGTTAATTCCACCGCTTAGTGTTCCCTCTAGTAATAATTAAAACAAAATAAGAAAATATAAGCCAATAGGTATATTAAGAAATAGAAATTAAATTGAATAAAAGATGTTAAACTATAAAGTGTTTGTGTCGCAATAAAATATGTGGATACAGATTATCAACTTACTTGGTAATATTCTAGACCATGAGATAGAGAACCTATAAGAATCCAACCCCATATCCTTCATCATTGCCACATCTTCCTGTAATTACACAAAAGATGCACATAATTATAGGAAAGAAGCTAAAAATTAAGGATCTCATCTTTAATGTCGTGTGCTCAATTCAAATATATAAGGTCTACATAATAAAATTTTGTGATTTTCAAACCTTATAGCGGTGATATTGATCAACAGCAACATCTCCATTGCTGCCATCAGCGATCTTTTCTGCAATTAACCAATATGATTTTAATTATTTTAAGCATAAAGTTCACGGAAGTCATATCAACTAGTATGTGTGTTTGCGTGCATGCTTGTTTGTAGACCAAATATATGCATACTACGTGACAATTAGTAAATAAAAACACAAAGGAATTTAGCTATCTAAACATTTAAAGAGGAGAATGATGTTGGAACTTCTTATTTATTTTCATACAATGTATCATTCCTCTTATATTTTACACAATATCTTAAAAACTTTGAATTTTATTTTTCACAATTACCCTTATTAAATGTCATGGCCTTCTTCAATTTTTTACAACTTTCTATCTTCTTTGGTCTAGTGGAGTAGTCTCCTCTTTGCTGGGTAAGATCGTAGTTTTGACTCACACAAACTTAAATCCAAGAACGACATATATTTCTACACAGTTCCCACTGAACACTTTTAAAAACTTAAAACAAAATGAATTCGCTCTGTATAATAGCTTTTGAAATGAAGTAGCTGGTCATCAATTTAAAAAAAAACTAGTTGATTGTTTGATTCAATAGACCTGGATGGTCGTGGGTGAAGGTATCCCATATGCTTGGTCCTCTACCATCTTCGTTTGCAGCACCTTCTACCTGAATTGTACATACAAATATATATTATATAACACGATATACCGAATGAAGATGCCTATATGTATGAATGGGACATGCTAGATGATCTGAAACTGAAATAAAATTAAACCAAATTAAGGAGTAACATTAATTAAGCCCTCAGAAGACACTGACTTGGTACGATGATGATGCTGTACCAAATGTGAACCCCGGAAACAGAATATCGAAATCGGTCCTGTTGAGGGTTTCACAAACAACGGGTGGATCTGTCCTGGCAGCATTGGTATTAGCCAATGCAAAGCCAAGGAGAAGCAGCAGCACACACAGGAGGAAAGAGCGGAATTGCAATGCCATAACTGAGTGGAGGGCTTTTGGTGATCGAGCTAGGTTTGCTCTTCCTGCTATATTGCATGGGCTTTATATAGAGGGAGTACGTAACTTCTACACGTGAAAATAATGAATCAAAAACGATTTTATTTATTTTTCCTTTCCCTTTTTGTAAAGTCAAGCGGGCTTTAAAGCTATAAAGTAGGGGGGGTACCACTTTTTAATATGGGACCATTTTTTTTTCTTTTCTTTTTTCCTTCTTCTTTATGCTATCTCTCATGGAAGCTCTCGCTCATCTTTATGGGCGAACTCTTGCTCATTGGTTCCTTAGAAAGTATTTATCTCTCATCAAATATATTTTCAAAAGCGGTTCATCACCAAACTTATCAACAACAATGAAGAAAACTATAACAGTGCTTGTTTTTCTGCACTACTGTGAGCAATTTGAAATTTCTGTGGCTCAGATGCTTTATTGAAGTGTTGGCTCAATGCATGCAATTGACTTCTGCTAACTAATTTTTAGATCGCCTCCTTTGTGCAATCTCCACCAGTTACATATAACCTAACGATGAGAAGGGATTTCCATGAGAGAGCTATAATGATTTGGGAAGATATTCCAATATTAAATAAAATATAATTATCTAATTAAATATGAGTTAATTAGCACAATTAATTAACCTAAGGAATATTTCTTTTTCACGTGTCACCATTTTATTGGTTGCCGAAAATATGTGTTCCCACAAATTATTATTAAAATTTACGTTGTTAAATTAATCATATTTGTAGGGATGGCAATCATCTTTGTAAATTAACCCAAGTACGCAATAGTCTAAGTAGGGATGGCAGTTTTACTTGTGGGTAAGGATTTTCGCGGGGATTCAACCCTAATGAATCGGGTATGAAGGATAAAAAACGGGTATGGAGAATTTTTTGGGTATGGTGTTCGAGGAGGGGCGGGTATGGGGAATATGCTATTAAAGTGGTTGCATACTAAGTTTTATATTTCCTATTATTATATTATATATTTATATAATTTATACAAATCTTAAGCTACTAATATATTTAATTAACTTCCAATCAATATCTAAACATTCTTACATAGTCTTATACGTGTATATTATATATATATATATATATATATATATATATTCATTATCTTGCCTTAATTTTTTTTTTTCAACAAAGTAGTTTTATATTGGTTTTTTCTTCCGTAATGCGGTGGGTCGGGGAACCCATTCCCCAACGAAGGTGGGGATGGGGAACCCCGCCCTCAGTTTGGATGAAAGAATTGAAAATTTCATAGAATTCTAAAATGACGGAATATAGATTTCCATCATTTCAATTTCTAGCAATTGAAGATTTCAGTGTTTGGATTTATATATGTCGAATTTTGTAAATGACAATGTGAAAATTGTGAAATGATGCCTATTTTGGTATAAATTAAACTTGGGAATTTGCTGTCCAAATTTTCAAAACTTTTTCTGCTCATTGTTTAATAAATTTCGCACTTAAGTTGCCAAACAAGGGAATTGTCAATTTCTCCCCTTAAATTCCCGACTTTTAACTGAATTTCGAGTTATTTTCCCTCATCCAAACGGAGGGTGATATGAATATTGCAGGTATGAAAGCAGGAATGAGGGGAAAAAGCTTAACGGGTATGAGGAATAAGATTTTAAAACAGACATTGCTTCCCTCCAACTTTATGCAAATAATAATTTGACACATGCATAAAAACAATGCATAAAGATAAAAAAAAAACTCTAGAAACATGTCAACAACACCTATACACCAAGTTGTCTACGTGCCCCCACCTTCGATAAAGAGATAATGTGATATGTCAACAACATTTTAATATTTTAATGTCTGCTGTCAATCAAACTCAAGCACAGCAGAGGCAGAGGCAGAGCAGGGGCAAACCTTCTGTCTTGTCAAAGCATGGCACTCTGTGCATGGTTTATCTTCTTTGACTTTTATTTCCTTGTTTCTCTTGGTTTTGGCCTCGGGTTGTTGGTGTTTTTTTTCACTTGATCGTTGGACTTTTTTCAACAAAACAATATTTAAAGTATAGGAGCAGATAAAACTCGAGTATAAAAAGGCGGATAGATTATTTTGATCAACTGTCCTAACTTATTTATACTTGTTTGTTAAATTTTGATTATCACAGACTCAAAGCCAATAACATTTTGCACAATTTTATTTTGTAATTAGGCCTTGTTTGGAGCGCAATTTTATTCTGTAGTAAGTCCTTTTGCAATTCAAAGCCTTTTTAATTATGAAACTTTTATTTGGTCAATTGGTCAACAAACCCGTGTTAGTTATTAACTTTTTTTATGGTCTGAATGGAATAAATATTCAAACTACTGGTCATAAGTTCCGTATGCATTAGTATTATTATTATTGTTTTTGCATATCGATTAAATTTGGCCAAACTATCTTTGAATACATGCATTATGCATATGTAATTGATTGATATGCAACCAAAATACATAATTGCTGGCACATATCTACCAAACGGGCCCTCATCTTTTTGAAAAGAATTATAGGGCCTTAGGCACCACAAGCTGATTGTTCTTGAGGGAGACATGACAATGTGATTCCGCTTTGTGATCACAGCTTTGGAGAGAAATATAACTTTTATTGCATCTCTGTGTGACTTCAAAAAATCTAGAGTGTGGGAGGGTGGGGCGAAAGGGAAAAAGAAAGTACATTTAGATTCTTTCTATGGCTTTCGACACAAAGAGAGGGTTCAATTTTTTATTATTATTTTTTTCAAAAGTACATTTATGGTGCACCAATCTTTATCTAATCAGAATCAGAATTTTATTAGCTTACCACTGAATTTTTTTTTTTTTTTAAAAAATAACGAATTACTATGTTTTTCTTTTACATTGTTCTTCGAACGGGGTGCAGGGGGAGGGGGAAGCCACCACCAATAATGGATAGGGTTGGGCTCGGTGTAGTTTGGTTAGGAAAAATCAGTTTGTGACTTATGTTATTGGATCAAAATATTAATGCAGTAAATATTATAAATATAAAACAATGGATTAAACCAAACTGCAATAAAGACAATATTACAATAAAGGAAAGATAACAATTTATTGAGTAGATAGAGGTTTGCGGATTGGTAATATCCTAAAGACAGAATTTCGCTCATTCTGAGTGCTTGAAGTTCAATGGATGTCGATCTCCCAGGTAGTGCAGGGACAGAGAAAGCTAAGGCCCAAGGGGGTCCTATGCCCCCTCTCAGCGTTCTTGACAGCTTGGGTTTCTTAACTTCAAAGTGCCTTTCATGTTTTTCTTCTCTCCTTTTTCCACTATTATTACTAACCATACTCTCTTTTTGTCCTATTTTGACTTTGATTGTAGTAATAAACTACCATTTGAATTTTGTTAGTGTGTATATTTAACTAAGTACATGCAATATCTTTTGCTACTATCAATGATGAATAGATAGTTAATGTGATATGTAAAATAATAGAGTATAGTAATTAAATTTATGAATTTTTATCAAGTAAAAAATTAATTAAAATGTCACTAAGGTAGTGGTAGACCCAGAATTGTATGACGGTCGAACCGTGATACAAGTATCCAAAAAAAAAAATCAATCTATCAATAATTTATATATATATAAAAAATAGACATTTTTTCATAACTTTGTATTTAATTTCATGTATCAAAACGGAAAAGTTTTTGATAAAATCTCATTTCTCTTTAAACTATTTATTTTCCATTCCCTTGGCTCATCCGTTAGAATATTAGAGGATTAATACTTTCCTTTTCTTTTTTCTTTTTTTTTTATGTCAATTTGTAATGGACCCACAATCATTTTACACATAATTATAAATGAAGTTATCATGCATTGCAATGGGGGCCATTAGAATGTTTATATGGTTTGCATTGTTAAATATATGTACTAAAGCCCAAGCTTTACTGTGTTGAGAACAAATTGTGGGGGTGGGGGGAGGGCCAGGTTGGTGTCTTAAGAAAATTAACATAGTTCGGTTTTGAGCCAAACCGTCCACTGAACTGAAAGCCTAGGTGGAGGAAATTTTGGCACCCACGCCGAACCACCGTCAGACCTTTTTGGTTCACCTAACTAACAGCTCGGGTCGGCTAGGTATCAGTTTTCGAGACGGGAACGGCGACGGCAAGCTAGATCCGACACAGACACCAGAAGGTGGTTTGACAGCTCCAAATCTCCAGATCTTGAGATTGAAGAGAACAACAAGAGGTAGGAATAGAAAGCGCGGGAGAGAGAGAGAGAGTGCGTGTGTGATGAAGCTAAGGGAGAAAGAGGCATTAAATACAATTATAATACCATTATATCACAAGCATAACATGCCTCTCATGGGCACCCTAAGCTAACCACCCACTTATCCAGCCCCATACCCCACACGTACATACGTCCTCTCACGGGTAACCCCCCAAACTCATCAGACGACCAAGAAACGTTGTGTTCCAGTCTGTGATGCCAGCTATTTGGTGAGGAATATTAACTTTTATTGCATTGTCACTTCAAACCTAAAGCGGGAGCTAAAGGGAAAAGGAAAGTAGATGGCATCTTTTATAAGGGAAAAGAGTGCTATATAAGGTAAGAAAATAAATTCCTAAATTACAGATATGGTCCCTAAAGTAAGGTGTTGGCTGTCTAAATAAGGTAAGAAAATAAACTTTATTGAATCTTTCCCTATCTTCAATATTCCCCGTCAAGTTGGAGTATGGTGATCAAGAATACCCAGCTTGTTTATCAGTGGTTGGAATTGATCTTTACCTAAAGACTTGATAAAGACATCTGTCAAGAAGGGATATAGGATATATGAAATAATTTAATAAATACATAAATTTCTCTCATAATTGTGGCATGAAAAACTATTAATTGCAAATTGTTAACGATGGTTACTTTAATTAACATATGCCAAACTTTAAAAGGATTGGTGAGGTTGTGAACAAAATTGTGCTAAAGAACATGTCCTCTCACATATTATGTGATTTGAACAATTTTTACTATTGAATAATATGCAAGTAATAGAAATAAGATTTTAAAACAGACATTGCTTCCC